TGTTAGCCAGGATGGTCTCTATCTCTTGACCTTGTGATCTGCCTGCCTTGGCCTCCCAAAGTGCTGGGATTACAGGCGTGAGCCACCGCACCCGGCCTTCATTCTCTTAACACTGTCTTTCATAAAGCAGAAACATTTAATTTTAATGAAGTACAACTTGTCATATTTTTCTTTTATGGATTATTTTGGTGTTATATCTAAAATTCATCTCCAAACGAAAAGTCACTAAAATACTCTTCTGTGTAATCTTGGGGGAAGTTTTATAGTTTTGCATTTTACGTATAGGTCTGTGATCTATTTTACACTTATCGTAGCCAAAGACCAAGAAGCAGTTAGGTCTGTGATCCTATTTATTTATTTATTTTTAAGACAGTGTCTGGCTCTGTTGCCCAGGCTGGAGAGCAGTGGCACAATCTCTGCTCGCTGCAACCTCTGCCTCCTGGGCTCAAGTGATTCTTGTGTTACATCCTCCAAATAGCTGGGATTACAGGCGTGTGCCACCACACCCGGCTAATTTTTCTCTTGTTAGTAGAAACGGGTCTCACCAAGTTGCCCAGGCTGGGCTTAAATTCTTGCCCTCAAGTGATCTGCCCTCCTCAGCCTTCCAAAGTGCTGGGATTACAGGCGTGAGCCATGGTGCCCAGCTCGAGTTTTTTTGTTTGTTTGTTTGTTTTAAGAAATAATTCACAGGTGGGGATAACTTCATTTCAAAAATAAAAATATTAGCTTCATGATATTCCAAAACACAGTTTTGTTCTTTAGATTATAAAAATCAGGGCAGCTCTAAGGTAGTTCGGAGCCTGAACGTCAAGCAGAAGCATAGAATGGAAGGCACACGTGTCTGGTAATTTCCCTTCACTAGGAGCCTATTTTAAATTATGCACAATAAATGTCAAGTGTTCCCCCATTTATCTGAGTAACTTAAAAGTTCTATATGTTGAAAAAAGATCTTCGTACATCAAAGGCTCCGTAACAATGTGAGTGTTCTCACCTTCTCGTGGGAGGAAGTATCAAGTTGATTGACAAGATGACTTTCTGCTTGCTCCAGAAAGGAGGCTCCTCGGCTCCCAGAGACCCAAGATGTGCCTTTGTCTCTTCCCTTCTCCATCAGCAGCTCGGATCTGCCTTCTCCCAGGGAAACCATCGTGGCGCTCAGAACTTTGCTGTCTGCCCAAGTGGGTCACCTCCTGAGAAGTGCCACCGTCGGGGCAGTACACCATTAAGTGGGGTGACTCGTTCTCAGGGGCCCGTTACTGAGTCTTCTGTCAATACATTCAAACAAAGGCGTTATAAAACCAACTGAAAAGAAGGAATTCTAGAATGTGCCCTCTCCAACTTGACCCATGCGTGCCGGTTCAGGGAGCTCTTCAAGTGCTCCGAGCTCTAAAAATAAGTCTCAGTGGGTGTCTGTGAGCCTGGGGGTGTCAGACCAAGACCCTGGCTCCTTGGTATCGCGGTGGATGGGATACAACCGGAGAAGCGTGGGCCCCAGGCGGCCCACCAGTAGCAGGCTGGACAGAGAGCTGGGCGGAGCTGGGGCAGGGCCCCCACCCTCCCGGCCAGGCGAGGGCTGGGGCACTGGGATTCTGAGTCACGGTGTTCCCAGCCCGGCTGTGACCCGAGGACCCGAAGTGCATCTTCAGCCTCCCTGTGTTTGTTTGCTCAGCCTTGATAAGTCACAGTTCTTGCTCTGCTGACCTGCCGGCCATAAAGAGTTACGAGGTCACAAGAAAATAAATGAAAGCTCTGAACACGATGACCTGCTCTTACTGTGAATCTTTGCAGAGCTGGGAAATCACTTTCTGGGCCCAGCTCTTTCTGTCAAAGTACAGACTACCCGAGACACACCGCAGTCCCGCGATCCCGCCCCGACCCCAGGCCTGCAGACCCCCGACCCCAGGCTTGCAGACCCCCGCCCTGCGCGCCGCGCGCCCTCCGCTGGGGACTACCAGCTGCCCTCTGCTGCCCCCTGCTGGCCGATCCTGAGCAGCGGCTCAGCGCAGACCTTCCTTCCAGCCGGGCGGGTTCAGCCCGAGTGGACAGGGCCCTCCCCGGAGGCGGCATCACCCCAGTGCCTGTAAACGACCTCGGGAGTGGAGAGCGCACCCGGGCCGATGCCCGCGCTCCTGAAGTGCTGACTCTGTGGACACCCAGGGACTTGGGGCAGGGCACGGAGGCTGCCTGGAGCTGGAGTGCGGGCACCTGCAGTGGAGACACCAAGTCAGGAAACCCTGACTCAGGCGTGGGCCGCAGCAGGTGTCTGTCCCTCCCCAGCAGGTGTCTGTGTCCCCACAGCAGGTGCCTGTGCCCCACAGCAGGTGTCTGTCCCTCCCCAGCAGGTGTCTGTGCTCCACAGCAGGTGTCTGTGTCCCCACAGCAGGTGCCTGTGCCCCACAGCAGGTGTCTGTCCCTCCCCAGCAGGTGTCTGTGCTCCACAGCAGGTGTCTGTGTCCCCACAGCAGGTGTCTGTCCCTCCCCAGCAGGTGTCTGTGTCCCCACAGCAGGTGTCTGTCCCTCCCCAGCAGGTGTCTGTGTCCCCACAGCAGGTGTCTGTCCCTCCCCAGCAGGTGTCTGTGCTCCACAGCAGGTGTCTGTGTCCCCACAGCAGGTGTCTGTCCCTCCCCAGCAGGTGTCTGTGTCCCCACAGCAGGTGTCTGTCCCTCCCCAGCAGGTGCCTGTGCCCCACAGCAGGTGTCTGTGTCCCACAGCAGGTGTCTGTCCCTCCCCAGCAGGTGTCTGTGTCCCCACAGCAGGTGTCTGTCCCTCTCCAGCAGGTGCCTGTGCCCCACAGCAGGTGTCTGTGTCCCCACAGCAGGTGTCTGTGCCCCACAGCAGGTGTCTGTCCCTCCCCAGCAGGTGCCTGTGCCCCACAGCAGGTGTCTGTGTCCCCACAGTAGGTGTCTGTCCCTCCCCAGCAGGTGCCTGTGCCCCACAGCAGGTGTCTGTGTCCCCACAGCAGGTGTCTGTCCCTCTCCAGCAGGTGCCTGTGCCCCACAGCAGGTGTCTGTGTCCCCACAGCAGGTGTCTGTGCCCCACAGCAGGTGTCTGTCCCTCCCCAGCAGGTGCCTGTGCCCCACAGCAGGTGTCTGTGTCCCCACAGTAGGTGTCTGTCCCTCCCCAGCAAGTGCCTGTGCCCCACAGCAGGTGTCTGTGTCCCCACAGCAGGTGTCTATGTCCCCACAGCAGGTGTCTGTCCCTCCCCAGCAGGTGTCTGTGTCCCCACAGCAGGTGTCTGTGTCCCCACAGCAGGTGTCTGTCCCTCTCCAGCAGGTGCCTGTGCCCCACAGCAGGTGTCTGTGTCCCCAAAGCAGGTGTCTGTGCCCCACAGCAGGTGTCTGTCCCTCCCCAGCAGGTGCCTGTGCCCCACAGCAGGTGTCTGTGTCCCCACAGTAGGTGTCTGTCCCTCCCCAACAGGTGCCTGTGCCCCACAGCAGGTGCCTGTGCCCCACAGCAGGTGTCTATGTCCCCACAGCAGGTGTCTGTCCCTCCCCAGCAGGTGTCTGTGTCCCCACAGCAGGTGTCTGTGTCCCCACAGCAGGTGTCTGTGTCCCACAGCAGGTGTCTGTCCCTCCCCAGCAGGTGTCTGTGTCCCACAGCAGGTGTCTGTCCCTCCCCAGCAGGTGTCTGTGCCCCACAGCAGGTGTCTGTCCCTCCCCAGCAGGTGTCTGTGCCCCACAGCAGGTGTCTGTCCCTCCCCAGCAGGTGTCTGTGCCTTGCTGCTAGGGCTGGTGTCTGTGTCCCCCCAGCAAGTGGTAGTGCCTCTCCTGGCAGGGCCCACACAGAAGTCTTCTATCCCTTGGGCCTTCTCCTTAGAAAGCCAGTGACACTGCCTGACCCCTTCTCTGCCAGGACAACTGGTTTCTAAGGTGAGTGCCACTGGGGCAAGTGCTCCTGTGGAGAGTTCTCCTGTGGTGAGTACCCCTGGGGTGTGTGCTCCTGGGGTGAGTGCCCCTGGGGTGTGTGCTCCTGGGGTGAGTGCCCCTGGGGTGTGTGCTCCTGGGGTGTGTGCTCCTGGGGTGAGTGCCCCTGGGGTGTGTGCTCCTGGGGTGAGTGCTCTGGGGGTGAATGCTCCTGGGGTGAGTGCTCCTGGGATGAGTGCTCTGGGGATGAGTGCTCCAGGGGTGTGTGCCCCTGGGGTGAGTGCTCCTAGGGTGTGTGCTCCTGGGGTGTGTGCTCCTGGGGTGAGTGCCCCTGGGGTGAGTGCTCCTGGGGTGAGTGCTCTGGGGGTGAGTGCTCCAGGGGTGAGTGCTCCGGGGATGAGTGCTCCAGGGGTGAGTGTTCCTTGGGTGAGTGCTCCTAGGGTGAGTGCTCCTGGGATGAGTGCTCCTGGGGTGAGTGCTCCTGGGGTGAGTGCTCCGGGGGTGAGTGCTCCGGGGATGAGTGCTCCTGGGATAAGTGCTCCTGGGGTGAGTGCTCCTGGGGTGAGTGCTCTGGGGATGAGTGCTCCTGGGATGAGTGCTCCTGGGGTTAGTGCTCCTGGGGTGAGTGCTCCGGGGATGAGTGCTCCAGGGGTGAGTGCTCCTGGGGTGAGTGCTCCAGGGATGAGTGCTCCTGGGGTGAGTGCTCCAGGGGTGAGTGCTCCTAGGGTGAGTGCTCCTGGGGTGAGTGCTCCTAGGGTGAGTGCTCCGGGGATGAGTGCTCCTGGGGTGAGTGGATTAAAATCAATTACATTTCTTTGAAAAGGGGGTAACAGCAGTTACTGATACATCACAACAAATAAACTTATAATACAACTTTCCTGACATGCATTTCCTGAGTGAACCCAAATGATCATTTTTAAAAACAAGGAAATTTCAACAGTTGAAGTAAAATAAAATAGTTCATGACTTCTAAGCAACAAGTTTTGTTTTTTTAAAAACAAAAAGAAAATTCAGAACAGTGTTGTAATAGGATAAAGTAAAGCTATGCTACCATATGTAAAACTTTGCTACAGTCAAGTACTAAACAACTTTTCAAAACTAAAGGAAAACAAATCAAAATATTTAAAAAAAAGACTGTCTAATCTAAGTGTACTGGTTTCTACAAGTGTCAAAAAATGATTTGATGTAGTGCAACTGTCTATACTTGTGGTGCCTTTGAAAAAAGGGTGGGAAGGAGGGGAGAGAAGAAACTTGTTTTTCTTCCAGAAGGAAAGGACATACTGGAATTAGAGAACAAACAGACCATGCGGTGGTCACTCCACACTGCAGTCATTGGTGCTCAGCTGCATCTGCCAAGCAAACATTTGCTTCAATCTCACTGTGGCAATCCCTTAGGATTCAAACCCAGAGTTAAGGCTGGTCTGCTAAAAGGGGGCCCTATTGTCATTCAACCCTTCAGATCTCTAGATTTCCTAATGCCTGAATAAAGCCAAATACAGAAAAATTACTTAAGCATTTCTTTTTCTAAAAGCAAATCATGTCACTCTCCTTTCTTGCTAATTTATACTTTTTCTTATGGGAAGGACTTTTTTCTAGGAACAGTGAACAGATGAACCACAGTTTACATCCAAAAAATAAACTTGCCAAATGTTGCTGATACTACAAACAGATTAGTTATCATGGGAGAAAAATAGATAATCTAGATTAAATTGCATATTCAAAGGAGCATATAAAATGTTTCTTAGCATTAAGTTTTTGTTATAGTACTACGCTTGAGAGAAACATTAAGAAAAAGTCTTTCCTAGGTATCTTCAATGTGATTAAAAACAAACACCTTTCATACATGGTAATTAATATGAATTTGGTCTTACAAATTACAAAATATTCTAATTTACCAAATTATTTAGACTGGGGTGGGGAAGGAGGCTCTCTGGTCCTTCTTCCTAACTTTGCAAATCCTTAAGCTAGGTGCTCACTAAGCTACCATTCACACCAAGGGTGTGCCACCATCGTTACCATGCTACTCTATCAAGAACATTCTAAGGTATTTTCTATAATAAAGATAAATAGAAAAAAGTTAATATACATGTTGCTGTATTTTACAATGTTTGCAACAAACTGTAAACTAACATAGTTTGAACCAACAGTACTCTCAGTTACACAAAACAATTTCAGCACTGAGGATGGGTGATTCAAAAACACTAAAATGGAGGCATCAAATTAGACTATGTCTTTTTCTCCTCAAAATATACTCTCAAAACTCAGAATTCAGAAGACTGGTGCCTTCAGAAATTCCTTTGCTTGAGTTTCCCAGATTTTTGCTCAGAAATTGCTTCTATTCATTATAAATGTTTAAAAAAATTCGTCATCTTAATGCAAATGACCAGAGCAGAAAAACTGTGATGTGGACAGGTTTGAAAACCCAACTCACTTAGCTTATAAATTTATAATGTAGTCTTGGAGGACAATAGTCTGTTAGTCTAGAGGTCCTTGAAAAATAAGTCTGATGTTGCCTTGTTCAGTGGCCAACTGATGTGCACAAAAGGGACAGGTTGCATGAAAAGTATGAGTACCATGAGGAAGAGGGATCTAGGACCAATAGGCAGTTGTCTTTTCTGAACACACATGCCCACACAGGCTAAACGCATGGGTTGGAGGGCCGGCGTCCACATAAAATCCAGCTTCACATCCACACCACAGAGGAACATAGGGACCGACAGACCCACACATAGGACATTCACGATCTTTTCCATCACGTTCTTCTTTGTTTCCCCAGTTATGATAGCCATGTACATGGCAGTTTAGATACACCCCTGGTTGTTTTTCATCTACATCTTTCCTTTTCATACTAGGAAATGCTAGGGTGTTGAACCCTACAGGGCACGAGATCATGCTGCATTGATTTCCTGTCTTAAAGCTTCTAAACGCTTCGCTGTAGGAACGTGGGAAAGGCCTTCTGCAGTACGCCATAGCAACGCTGCACCACAAAGGTCGATTAACGAGCCATCTTGTAACTGATTGGTTTCCATTTCCACCGTTTTTCCTCTCTGCTGAGCTGTTCTGGTTTCATGCAGGCTAAATACATTTCCACACACTGATATTTCTCTCCATAGTACAGGCTTGGAGTCTTCTGTGAACCCACTGCGTGGATGCATTATAAGAACGCCATTAGTGGTCAAGCCATCCATCTGCCCATCTGATGTCTTCCATTTGGCAGCCTTTTCCCCAAGAAAGATGTTTTTTGATGAGTCAAATCCTGCAGCATAAATCCGTGCTGTAAAGGGAGGATTCCGTTCACATATCATTCTACAGGCAAATCTTGATAGAGTGCTTTGTACTGACTGTGTATCAGAATTACTTTGACTTCCAGGAACTGTGAGTTACTACAAAATCAATGGGGCTTTCAGTTGACCGGCCAATCTGAAACGTACCAGTGTTGTTGTCATGAGTATATTCAACCACCAGAGTCCGGGCCCGAGATGAAGTGTATGATATGCTATGCTGGTGCCTAGAAGCAATATGCACAGTGCTGGGCGTCACCCCATTTGCCTTAGGTCTTTTAAACAAAGCAAACCTACTTTTCCTCCTTCCTCTATGGCCATTTGGGAGAGACCCTTTATACCCTAAGACAATGAGTTCCCCACGGTTTACTGGTGCTTTAGATGGATGATTTTCTTGATCAGGAGAAAACACGAGCTTGGCTGTCTTTCTCAAATCTGCGTTCACTGGTCAGGAGCTCTGGGACACCTTTTGCATTATTTCCGGGCAGTTGCTGGAGGCCGGGATCCCAGCGCCGCCCCCGCCACCCGAGGCGAAAGGGTTGAAGCGCCGCGCGCGGGGAGCGCGAGCAGATAGCCCGGCGCTCCGCGGCCGCAGGCCGAGCCCAGGGAGGGAAGGTGACCGCAGAGCCGAGCGCCGAGGAGCCGCGGACGCAGGGAGGGGTGTGGGGCGGCTTTGCGGTGCGCCCCCGAGGGCCGGGGACCCCTTCGACCGCGCCGCTCGGCTGGCGCTGCTGCCGCTGCTGGAGGCGGCGGCGCCCCCAGACCGTCCGGCCGCCACACGCCGCCTCCGGGTCACTGACACGCGCTCTCAGGAAGGGGAGGGGACTAGCCGGAAGCCGGGGACTGAGGGCGGGGGCGGGGCCGTGCCACGGCGGGAGGCGGGGTCGCTGCGCCGAGTGCGCTCTTGGGAATTGTAGTTCCCCGGCTGAAGAAAAAAGGGATGCCTTGTCCGGCACCCGACCAGGCTCGCTATTTTTCTAAGTATTGCATCTTGAGACTGCAGCAATTTCTTGGTAAGTTAACTTCAAATAATATTTTTTCCTCAAATATAGGATTTTAAGCAATTATTGTTATTTTCTCTTTGACATCAGTATCAAATACCTTTTTGTTTTTGCCTTTAATAGTCTTGGCATTTTAAATCTTCCTTATCTATGGTGGATTCAATACCTGAATTAGTCAGAATTAGATTAAATTGCAGTAACAGACAAACTCCTACATCTCAGTGGGTTAGCATATAATAGTTTGATTTTTGCTCATAGAAAATCTACTTGTAAGTTCAGACACTCTCCAGAACAGCTCCCTAGCAAACAGTGAATCAGAGAACCAGTTGCTTTCCTCTGGTGACTCTGCCATCACCAATGTGGCTTTCAGGGTCATACCGATGGGGAAGGAGGTTGCATGTGACTCTTACAGCCAGGACCAGGAATGGTGTTCCTCACTTCTGCCCATGTTCCTGCTTTAAATGCAAAGCAGGCTGAGAAATGGGAAGGCCCATGTGGATATTAACGGTCTCTCTCATATCTTCATATGGAAGTTGAAGTGGTTTTTGTAATATTGAACGAAAGAGAGTAATTCAACTTTTGGCAGATACTCTACTACTGCATAGTCTCTTAGTGTGTTTCAAGTATACCTGGAAATGAGGAAAAGCTGAAAAGGGCCTAACTTTGAAAATTCTTTTCTACTGTCATCAGGCCTAGAGAAATTTTTCTCTGCATGCTTGAATGTCTCCTAAGTTTACTTTTTAATAAAAAATTAGGATGGCAGTAAAAAGTGTTAAAAAACAAAAAAAAGTAAACATTTTAATACAGCAGATTCATTGGCTGGGAAGGCAAGGAGTAATGTTCTAGTTGAAAACAAAGGAGTCATTAAAGATATTTCCTTACCAGAAAAAAAATCCTAGAGAATAAATTTTTATTACCCCCGTGAATCTCCCTTCCACCTTTGTGTATATTTCCGTGTGGTCCTCTCCTGGGACTGCCTTCCCATTCTCCTCTGCTCCCCATGCATTGGTGATCACCCTAGGCTCTGCTTTGGTGAAGCCTTTTCCAGCCCATCTAAAGTCAATTGTCTTTTCATTCTTGACTCCCATTGTCTAAACCACATACTTCACCTTATCTTCTTGCTTATTGTTTATGTCTCCTACTCATTCAATGTTGAAACAAACAAAAAATCATCCCTGAAATCATCTTGATTAGCAAATATCCATTCCTCTTGTTTTAGTCTCACTGCCAATGGAAGAGATGTGACCATAATTTCCGTGTAAGAGCCATATTTGGTGTATTCAATTACTTTTTATTCTTCCCTTCATCAGTTGAATAACCATCTTAGAGCTACATATGCTCTTTTTAATCAACTTTTATTTTAGATTCAGGAGGTACATGTACAGTTCATTTATTTTTATTTATAAAGAATAATATATTTAGCTCTAGATTCTATTTGAAGAAAAAACAGGATTAGCCTTTCTATAGGAAAGTGAACAAAATAACAAGCTGGAAGGTTAGTTTGTTCCAGTAATAAACATTCCCCAAGCATATGACCTTGTTGCACCTGAGAAATAAGGCAGCTATAAGAAATTGATGATAGAAATGAGGTTCACACTGGATTACGCCTGTAATCCCAGCACTTTGGGAGGCTGAGGCAGGCGGATCACGAGGTCAAGAGATAGAGACTATCCTCGCCAACATGGTAAAACCCCGTCTCTACTAAAAATTCAAAAATTAGCTGGGTGTGGTGGTGTGTGCCTGTAGTCCCAGCTAGTCAGGAGGCTGAGGCAGGAGAATTGCTTGAAGCAGACAGGTGGAGGTTGCAGTGAGCTGAGATCGCGCCACTGCACTGCAGCCTGGCGCCTGGCAACATAGTGAGACTCTGTCTCAAAAATAAGTAAATAAATAAATAAATAAATAAATAAATAAAATAAACCATGCCTCCTTTATCACATAATAAGTGATCATGTATACTAAGGCTAGTTTCTGAATGGTCTATTCTAGTCCATTGAGTACCTGGTCTATTCTTTCATAAGGATTAAAATATTTGAATTACTGTAGCTTAATAAAATGTTTTAATAACTGCTATGGCCGATGTCTTTTCATTTCTTCATTTCTCTGTTTTCACTTTTTCTTGTATGACTGATTTGTGTCCCTACCAAACCTCATGTTGAATTGTAATCCCCAGAATTGGAGGTGGGGTCTGGTGGGAGGTGATTAGATCATGGAGGTGAATCCTTTGTTAATGGTTTAGCACCATCCCCTTGCTGTTGTCCTCATGACAGAGTTCTGCAAGTTCTGGTTATCTAAAAGTGTGTAGCACCTCCCCCACACCTTGCTCATCAGGCTCTCGCCGTGTTAGAAGCCTGGCTCCCTTTTAACCTTCTGCCGTGATTGTAAGTTTCCTGAGGCCTCTCCTCTTGAGGATCCTAGCAGAGGCCAGCATCATGCTTCCTGTACAGCCTGCAGAACTGTGAGCCAATGAAACTTCCTTTCTTGATAAATCACCCAATCTCAGGTATTTCTTTATAGTGATGCAAGAATGGACTAACAGAATTACTAAGATCATTATTTGTTCAAGTTAAAACTCTAGAATCTTTTAAGTTCATTATCCCCATAGTCAATTATGTCTTGTTTGGAATTTGATTGAATATATGAATGAATTTATAATTGTCCTGAGTGTCAATTTTTTTGCATTTAATCTTCCCTATTCAGACTCATTTTATATTTATTTACTCAATTTACATGAAGCAAATTCTAATTCTGACTTAATTTCTAACTTTGGACTCAACTACGTAGTTAAAGATTAGCTTCATGGACATATATTGTAGGATACTTTGAAAAAATTAAAAATGTATACATGAGACAAAAGATTTTTCACAAGGTAGTGAAAAACTAGAACAGTATTTCTCATTTGCTGATCAATGTCATTGAAAGGTTTTAAGCAAGAGAATAGGTTCACAACCCACTTGTGCAGAGCTGAGCTCTCTTCTTCAGGCTTAATGAAATGATTTAGGAGACATATTTCTATTCCACATTTACACAATTCTACACTTTGAAAATGATTTATTTTACTCTCATCCACATACTCAAATCTCTTTGAAAGCCAAACCGATATCTTAATCATATCTGTGCAGCCTGTTCACCGAACACAGTGCTGGGAAGTTGTGGGCACTCATTAAAACAAAGGAGTGATTGAGCGTGTCAGTGCCTGAGTGAGCCGACTTCTGTAGGTAGAAAGTTAGAGGAGAAATGGAGTAACACTAAGGTGTCAGCCCACGCTAGTAGGAAAAATGAGCTAGAAAAATCATTTTGACCCAAACCTGGTTTGAATTGTTTAATGTTTCACAGACACCTTAAGGAATAAGATTTTGATATTTTTTCAAAGTCAAACTAATGAGAAGGAAAAACATTTGGTTATTTATTGGGACTTTGAGCAAAACTTGTTTAAAAGTACATTTCATATTCAGCGAGCTCTAAATGGGAAATCATGGCCACTATCTTGCAAAAGAAACTGTTAACAATTATCAGAAAGGTAAATAAAAATGATCTTTGTTATAGTTTCAGTTGTGTCCCCCAAAAATGTATGTTGAAGTCCTAACCCCTGGTACGTGCGAATGTGACTTTACTTGGAAATGGCGTCCGTGCAGATGTAATTGAGATGTGAGTTAAGATAAAGTCATACTGGAGTAGTGTGGGTCCTTCACCCTGTAAGACTGGTATCCTATCAGAAGAAAGGATTTGTGTACAGAGGAAAGGTGATGCAGACAGACACACAAGGAAAACTCTGTGTGATGACGGAGACAAACACAGGAACACCAAGGACTGCTGACGGCAGCAGAAGCTACGAGAAAGGCAAGGAGCAGGTTCTCTCTCAGAGCGCTCAGTGGGATCAGGATCCTACCAATACCTTGACTTTGCACTGCGACCCTCCAGAACCAAGAGAGAGTGAATTTATGTTGTGGTAAGCCGCCCACTTTGCAGTATTCTTACGGCAGTCCTAAACAACTATTATAACCTCCAATTAAAATAGTATCTTTTCATTCGTTGGCCAAGTTTACTTAGCAAATTTTTTATTGTCTTTTAAGCAGATCCAAATGGTTGAGTGGAGGAAGAACACATGTTTTACGTATTTCCACAGAGTTTAATTTCACAATGAAAATGTCTTCTGTCATTTAAAACAAGCCAAAAAATACGAAAATCTGGCCCAGTGCAGTGGCTCACAGTTACAGTCCCAGCTACTCAAGAGGCCGAGGGAAGAGGATTGCTCAAGCCCAGGAGCTGGAGACCAACCAGGGCAACAGAATGAGAACTCATGTCTATTTTAAAATATATATAAATAAGAAAATCTGAGATGTGAGGTTCAGTTTTCCATTTCTAGCCCTCTGTTACGCTTAGAGCTTATCTCACAAAGACAAATCTCTGTGTTCTTAAAGTTCTCCAGGAACCACTTTCTTGTTTATTTCTGTGGTAACAAGGAAAACTAAAGGGTGATTTGTAATAAAAAAGCAAATCTATGCGTGAATGTCTGGGTGAAGGGCTGATTTATTAATCTGTCTCACATACCCCCAAAGGGATGTTTGATTGTTATTTAATGCAAAGTAGAAGCATTGCTGAAGACCTTTCTTAGGAATCTTTTTTTTTTTTTTTTGAGACTGAATCTGCTCCATCCCCCAGGCTAGAGTGCTGTGGCAGGATCCTGGCTCACTGCAACTTCCATTTTCGGGTTTCAAGCAATTCTCCTGCCTCAGCCTCCAGAGTCCTGGGACTACAGGCACGCACCATCACACTTGGGTAATTTTTTTGTATTTTCAATAGAGATGGGGTTTCACCGTGTTGGCCAGAATGGTCTCGATCTCTTGACCTTGTGATCTGCCCGCCTTGGCCTCCCAAAGTGCCGGGATTACACGTCTCAGCCACCATGCCTGGCCAAGAATTTTTAAAACATAAAAAGTCACTTAAACAGCAATAATATGAGAAATATCTTTATGCATTTCACTTAGTCTCAGGTGCCTTGTAAAATTTAGGAATGTGAATTAATGCAATAACAAAGAATATTCAAGATACTAAAGGCGAGGGTTCTATGTGGATTCAAGTTGTTGTTGAGCAAAGTTTTGCCTAAGAAAATCTGTGCCAAGATTTAATGTGTACTTAATTAGACAGGATGAAACTTGTCATGTCCAGTAAATGATCTCTGATTACTCAAAGTCTGTTAATGTATTAACAAAAGACTTTCATCATCAGTACACTTGAATAACACTTGTCCCAAAATACTCTTTCCAGATTACTGAGCAGCTTAATGCAAAATTAAATTGCCTTTTTGTAGCAGGCATAAAAAACCAAAATATTAAAAATAAAAGGGAATGCCTTTATCAAAGTGTGTAAGTTAAAGAGCGCTTTCCTATAAAATATTTTATAATTCATACTGGACTCATAGATAAGTATTATGAACTGTGGTAACTTTTTTTTTCTTTTTTTTTTTTTTGAGATGAACTTTCACTCTTGTTGCCCAGGCTGGAGTGCAATGATTGCAATCTCGGCTGACTGCAACTTCCACCTCCCGGGTTCAAGCAATTCTCCTGCCTCAGTGCCCTGAATAACTGGGAATACAGGCACATACCACAACCCTTAGCTAGTTCTGTATTTTTAGTAGAGATGGGATTTCACCATGTTGGCCAGGCTGGTCTTGAACTCTTGACCTCAGGTGATCCTCCGACCTTGGCCTCCCAAAGTGCTGGGATTACAGCCACTGCACCTGGCCAACCAGGGTAACTTTCTGTTTTGACAAATTTTAGATAAAAACGTAATTTTAAAAAGATAAAACCATGATTCTTAAGCAAATCTAAAAAGAACACACATCAAAGAAATAACCACTAGGGTGTTATTACCAACTCAAAGAGTGTATAGAAAGCTAAGATATTTACATACAATTAAACAAACAAACAAAAGCGTGTTAGGATAAGGGTCACATGTTAGGTATAAAACTGGTTAACATAAAATACGGTAAAAATCTTAGGTTTCTGTTCCATCGGACAGAAATTATTTATATCAGTACTTGATAAAAGTCAACCAGTAATTTTAGTAAGTTTGGAATCTTTATGATAAA